TCCCGAAGCAACTGGAACAAGTTAAACCATTAACGCCCTGCGATCTATTTATAGTTCAGCTTTTTTTCTTCTTCTATCATGGCTTAACAGAATTTAGGAACGTAAATACAAGAAAAACACGTGAAAAGAGCGCTAGGCGTGTCTCTTGAAATATGTTTTCGTTATCACTAGATTGATCCTTGGAGTATCGTTAACATCTTGTCTTCAAATAGTGTGAGAATAATCCTTGGGTTACTCCTGAAAAATCGCGCATTATTCGGAGATCAAAAACGACTTGGGCGTTAACGGTTTAAGCAGCACCGCAGCATGGAACAGCTGATTCTCGACCTTCCAGAATACTATGGCCAACTTTTCGTAGCACAAAACCATCGTCCTCGGCATCGGTTTCTTCCTGGGTAGGATCACCATGGATGTCTTTGATGGCCTTGTAAGCCTCCAGCATAGAACAGAAGTGGAACTTTGGATTCAAAAGTGGCTCCATTTATTTATTTATTTTATTTGTCAGCATCAACAGACTCGATATGGTCCCAATGATGGTTTAACTTAAAATTAAAATTAAAGTCATAAGTTAAAACTACAAAACATTAAAACATGATCATTGACTGTTTCCATTTCTGGAGAAGAATGAAGAGAAACGTCTCCGAAGTGTTAGTCGTGGCTGGTGAAAATCGAATACTGATGAAACTCGGTTAAATACTCGCTGCAGTCCGCCTATTGCACCGTTGATTGCATAGTTTGTCCTACGTAGTGGCATTCTCAGCATAACATTGTTACGAAGCATTCGAGGTTGGACGTTAATGTTTACTTGCTCCAAGATTGCCATGCAATCAATTCTGCCATGTAACGTGTCCGCGACAAGCAGGGCTTTTAAAGTATCTCTTCTGGTGCGAAGAGGCTCCAAGTCAATCATAGCTGGGCAAATGAAACGGGTCTCTCCAAGGTAACATTCTCAACGCGTATCGCAGAAAGCGGCGTTGAACGGACTCGACTCTCTCAGTACCATTGTTGTAGTTCGGACTCCAAACCACAGAACAATATTCTAGAATGGAACGTACCAGGGAACAATACAGTGACTTGAGGCAATGGATATCGGAGAAATTCTTAGCTGTTCTGAAGATAAAGCCCAATGTCCTTGACGACTTGTCGACGACGTACGAGATGTGTTGCTTATATGTAAGTTGAGAGTCCAGGATGACACCTAGATCTTTTACATGGCTCACACGTTCAATAATGGTGTCCCGGAGAGCATAGTGAAAAATAACTGGTTCTTTCTTTCGGGTAAAAGTGATGACTGAACACTTCGCAGGATTTACTGTCATTCGGTTCAAATGGCACCAGCTGGCAAACGCTTCAAACTGACGTTGGAGGAATTGACAATCATCGATCGAGCGGATCCGTAAGTAGATTTTGAGATCGTCTGCATACGATAGTCTCGATAACTAAATTCACGTCATTGAAGTAGAGTAAGAAAATCAACGGTCCCAGATGGCTTCCTTGAGGTATTCCTGACGTAGCTGCGAAAATGTCGGACTGGCAGTCACCATGGGCTACCACCAACTGACGATCGGCGAGATATGAGCGAAACCATCTCAAGAGATTTCCGCTAATCCCAAGTCTATCCAATTTGGCAATCGCGATGGCGTGATTTATCTTATCGAAGGCAGCTCCATATTATTGTTGTGAACACTAGCGCACCTAGTGGTAGAAGGCAAGCTTTGCCTGCAGTTTATATGGGCAGCATGCTTTGATGGTGTGAGTGTCCATAGAAAACCCGTGTGAAGCGCATCTACAAGCTAGCATCGCATGGTGAACAAAAATTCTCCCAGTTTTTGATACACTGATTTGTTCACACTTCCACTTCTATTCTGTACCTTCAGCCACAATTCCATCTATATCCCAATCTAGCTGATTTAGATGCGTATCCAAATTCAGCTGCTGCGTCTCCGGCTTCGAAGCACTCACATTTTCCACAGCTCCAAACACTGGTATTTCTTTTCTTTCTTTCTTTATTAAAGAGACTTTCAGCCATCGGCTGGTTCATCTCTGGCAAGCCCAGAAGAAGGTGCCCCAAATAACAGAGTTGGGTGGGCCTCGGAAGGAGGTTTCCCTAATACAGAGTTTTTTTTTTCTGAGTTCGGAGTTCAGGTTCAAACAATAGTACACATATAATAGTTGAGTAGTGTCACAGCACAGTAGTGTCAGTCCTTGGGCTTAAATACTTTCATAAAGATAACTGCTGCTTCGGTTGATGGGTCATACGATAGGGCGTTCCTTATGCTGTTCGGTATACCGTAGAGACTTCTTATATTGCTGAACACTGGGCAATCTACCAAAATGTGTTCCACTGTCATGGTAAGGTTGCAAGTGTCACAAGTTTTCCGGAAATTGGAGGAGCAGCCCATGTTGTGAGTTGCACGTGTGTGCCCAGAACGGAGACGAGACAAGATAATCTGGTCTTGTCGACTTGGAGTGTCCTGCCATTTGGAAGTCTCTCCTTTCACCTTCCGAGGCGTTGCGGATAATGAACCTGACTCATCGCTTAATAACACTGGTATTGAAACAAGACCTCCACGCACGGCATCGTACGATCCGAGCATGAATCATAATCAATTCCGGCATCGCCAGATTATTCAAATCGTTAATATCAAATTACTGCTGGGCAGCTTCCGTTCGCTGCTCAGTCATCCTCAGATAGCCGCGGATGACATTCTCCACCGAACCTACATGTTCCGATACGGGCGCAGACCATTGTTGGCGATGAGGGACCTCTTCAGCGCCACGCACAGCAGGTCCAAATACTTGAACATTCCAAGCCAATGCGGAACACCTCCGGTATCTTGGTCGACTGATTTCTCGGTTAGCATCGATGAAATTGGTATCACGATCCCTGAAGATCACTCGTAGTTTGCTTCGCAGAGATATAAAGCTTCGTATTGCCATGACGCACGAGATTGCGATCAGCGATTCTTGAATCGTCGGTAACTTGGGTTTACGGGTTTACGCAAGGGGCAAATCGGGCTGCGGACATCTTCGATTGCGTACTGACAAGCGGCGATTCTGGTTTAGCCCAGATGTTTTCCGATGTAGCGAGCTTGACTCGAGGGGCGGACTTGATGGTTGTTCCGATACACTGTTACACTCGTGGTTGCTCTCACTCAAGTGTAGTCAGCAACGCCAGTGGTGCATAGGGCTAAAGCGGCTGTTTGCTTTTGCCTTAACCTGGGTTCTAGGTCCGATTTAGGTCGACTTGCTTGGCTTTTTTTTAAGCCTCCGCCGTCATGAGCTCTTGGGTCTGCCTATGCTACGATGTACTACCGAATTCAAATTCAACGCTTGGGGACGGCGTAGTGGTTAACATCCATTCCTTTCACGCCAAAGTCCCGAGTTCTCATCCCGGGACAAGTCACGAATGAGCCTAGGGTGTTAAAGTGACTATTATAATAATTTAAAAAAATATATAGCGCTTTTGTAGCTCCAATCTCAACGAAGCAGTTAGCAATTTGCATGCCCCGCTGTCATCTTGCAGGGTGTCTTCTACCTGACAAAATCTGGAAAAACTGGAAACTAGTGGTCCTGAAAAGAACCGTTTTGTCGTGATCGTTGAGTAATGCTGAGCTATTACTATTAAGATGTTCAACACGAATGAGGCTGGCGAGCTGTATGTTGTTTGGAATGAGGGTGACGCGCTTGGCATAGATGGCCCACAGCGGCTCACGTCGAGCAACTGAATTCGATCAGTAGCGGTGTGGCTTCTTCCTTCTTATTCGGTGAATCGAGGGCCCTTGAGGCAGCGTTGATAGCTAGCTGCTTGCGGGGAGCCTTTCGTTGTGTACTGGAGCAAAATGTACAACACCACGCGCCGAAAGCACTGTTGCTGATGCCGACCGGACACCACCACGCACCACAAGAAAATATTAGTGATTCCATCATCAACCAATTGGACAGTTATGGTCTGTTCGCAACTATGATCAGAGATTTTATGCCTCAGAAAATCCCAACGGCGCCGACTGGGATTGAACCCAGGGTCTTTGGAGTGAGAGGCAATCACGCTTATCACTACACCACCGGCGCCACTTATCTGATATGGAGAGTTGACTGTGTTTCAAAAAAATTGCCTTGAGGGTTGATAAAGAACAAATGAAATTTGTGTAGAGGAAATCGTTGCTAGGGAAAATTCGACGGCCATCAGCTACAAGCCGTAGACAACGTTTATAGTACTAGTAGTTCAAACGCATGTTCACTTGTAGGAATATCTTCGGATACAGCCAAATTTCGTGATACTCCGGGAGCGGAGACAACAGCGTCCCATACTATTCGAATTCTTCCTGGGTTAATGATGTTAGTAACCGAATGTAGGCAAATGTCAGACCCGATGAAATTTTAAGTGTTCCAGGCGCTTGTCTATGAATCTTCTGGTACATCCTTTCGTGATGAAGCCGGTGATTTTCAGTACTTCAGCGAGATCATTGCATATTTGCTTCTTATGACACTGCAACTGGCGCAGGGCTTGTTAGATGAATTGTCGTACCGTTATAGCAAGCTAGATCCGTAGAAGTCTTTCCTAAGCACGGTTCAAGATTCGGGGTGTTGATTGTACTCGTATTCTTTCATTGCCTAGAGTAGATCCGCGTTCATTTGTGATTTGTATGGACCACATGGAATACTGGACGTTAGGTACATTGCATTGTCTTTGTCATTCACAGACTGTCTGACCAAGTCGAACCTTAAAAGTGATCATTCATCTGAACATCTTGATGCGAGGCGACCAGTAAGTTCTCGAGCGAGATGAGCAAAGTTCCTCAACGTTGACCGATAGATCCTTAGAAATGGCTTGTTAAACAGCAAATTGCTTTCGAGTAAGTGGACATGGACCAATATCGTCCTCGTTGCAATCTCGTTGTCTAGAAATGTTGAGTTTTAAAATACAATCTGATGTTAGATGTCGCTTGGAGCAGCACACATAATTAACCATTCTACCTTTCTCTCTCCCCCCCCCACAGGGCAGCACCGCACCGCACTTTTCTATGATCTCAAACCACCTGCTAGGCCAGCTCTAAAGCCATGGAAACCAACGAAACGTACTTCCCGTACTACGTCCCGGACCGGGACTCCTGTCTGGTGTTGAACAAAACGAAAATCATCCTGAACCTCTACGAAGGCATCCCGGAAACGCTTATGCTGAACGTCATTGCGTGGGCTTTCCTAATTTTGCTATTTACGCTCCTGCGGCAGCAAGCATGGGACTACGGTCGCCTGGCGTTGGTCAATAGCCACGGGGAGAACAAGCGATGGACACAGCTGTTCTACGCCCATGGAAACGTGGGCGGTCCAAACGGGGTCGAAACGAGCGACGCCAGTATCAACATCGATCGGGGGTTCTTTTCCTGGATCATTGCGACCTGGCGGTTAACGAAAGAGCAAATACTGACCCACAGCGGACCGGATGCCGTGCACTATCTGTCCTTCCAGCGACATCTGATGATAGTGATGGGAATCATCACGTTCATCTCAATCACTATCATTCTGCCGATCAACTTCTCCGGAACGTTAAGTGGAGATAAGAATTCATTCGGTCATACGACCATTTCGAATCTGGACCCAAATTCGGGATCGATGTGGGCTCATGTGGTGTTTACGATAGCGTACGTCCCAATGGTGGTGCTGATTATGCGGCGAGCTTCCGGCAGGAATGCATTCAAAACCGCACCAACCCGAACCGTAATGGTGATGAATGTTGCGCAAGCCGATTGTGACAAACGGGTCATTCGGACGTATTTGCAGCAGCTGTTTCCGGACGTGGGGATCGAAGATATTCAGATGGCTTATAACATCAGCAGCTTGATCAAGGCGGCCGAAGAGTACGAGAGGATAGCGGATGCCAGGATCTACTGTGAGGTACACCGGAATCGGGATCGCGAACCAGTACAAGCCAAGATGTCCTGCTTCACTTGCCAGACGGTAGATGCTCTCGAGTACTACAAGGAGGAAGAAGCACGGCTTGCAGGTATGTAAATGCGGATATTTTCGCTTTCGTTTGAATATTTTTATTGAACTTTGCAGGACAAGTTTCCCGTCTACGAGCATCCGCTCTCAATGAACCACTTGGCATCGCTTTCATTACACTGAACACGGCGCAGGAAGCGCAGCATGTCATTCTCCACTTCAAGCCGGGAACCTACCGCAATTGGGATCTAGCATACGCTCCGGCACCGTCGGATATTTTCTGGGAAAATTTGAACATCGACACCGCTCAGTGGTACTGCAAATGGGTCACCGTCAACCTGAGCCTATTCCTGTTCCTATTCTTCCTGACGACTCCGGTGATTATAGTCAACCAGTTGGATACGTTTGCGTTGACCAAGAACACGACATCGCAAATCAGCAAGATCAGCCCCCTGGTTTCGGAATTCCTTCCAACGTTGCTGCTGTGGTCGATGTCCGCGTTGATGCCCGTTATTGTAGCGTACTCCGATACGTGGCTATCCCACTGGACCCGATCTCGGCAAAACTACGTAATCATGACCAAAACATTCGGGTACTTACTGTTCATGATCTTGATTCTGCCGTCCCTTGGTCTAACCAGCGCCGAAGCATTCCTTCAGTGGACCATCCACTACAACGAGACCTACCGTTGGGAGTGCATCTTCTTACCGGACAAGGGTGCGTTTTTCGTGAACTACATCATAACTGCTGCCTTCATCGGTACCGCATTGGAGTTGATTCGTTTTCCGGACCTGATCTGCTACATGTGGAAACTGGCAACAGCTAAATCTCGCGCCGAAACACCATACATCCGGAAATCAATTCTCATCACGTTCCCATTCGGAATCCACTACGCGTGGATGGTGATGGTCTTCACGATGAGCACCGTCTATAGCCTGGCTTGTCCTCTGATCATGCCCTTCGCAATGGTCTACATCATGCTGAAGCATTTCGTAGACAAACACAACCTATTCTTCGCGTTCGCACCATCAAACATGATCAGCCAGGGAAGCGGAGGGAAGATCCACAGCACCGCAGTTACAATGACCAAAGTTTCCGTAGTTCTCCTGCTATTCATAATGGCGGCATTGGCGTGGGTTCGTGCCGGAGCACTGGAAATGCGAGCCTTGATCCTGATCTTGGCGTTTTGCGTGACGTTGATCATGTTCACGTTCATGTCCCCAATCAAAAAGTGCACAACCAAACCATTGAGCATCGTGGAAATTGAAGGACCGGCACCGATCTACGTCGCCGATGTGCTCATCAACCGGAGGATGATATCGGATAGCCCGTCTCATCTGAGCTACGGTTCCGATACCACGATGGACATTGTGATGGACGATGCCGGACGGAGTGTGACGGCGTAAGCGTAAACTTACCAGGCTTGCTCGAGTTTTTGCGCCCTCACACTCTCTCTCTTTCGCTGCTATAAACACATTCGGTTTTGCTAATACGTGCTTTCCATCGTTCGACTGCTATTCAGGTGTATCGTTTCGTCGAAAACATTGTGATTCTGTTTTTAGTTTTATTTTTATGAGCAGTAACATATTTACATTATTTAGTCTAATTATTGTAATCGTAAATTATTTGTAATATTTTTTACCAATATGTATCGTTTGATTCTAAACGTCTGATTATGATGATGATGGTAGAGAAAATTGTAGACACATCACCAAAAAAAATTAAATTCTTGTTTTCAAGAAATCTAACTAGTTGAATTTGTTATTATCGTTTATTGTATTTAGAATGCAACACGGGCGTACAGAGTGCTAATGAGATTTCCATAATCCGCTCCACGAAGTAAAAGCGTAATCTACTAGTTTGTTTTTCAATTACCGCAGAAACCGCCTTGTTTTTTTTTTTGTCAACCAGCCGGTAGTTCTAGTAAAAGTTTAGTCCGATAAAAACAACGCCTTGGAAGCGTGATACAAATAATGGTATTACCGATAGAATGCATGAGTCCTTCGTAGCAACATTTTGCGCCAGAAACTAATGATACCCTACTAGATGAATAGGGAGCAGTGATCGTAATTATTACACTTACTAAAAAAAGACACTTTGAAAATGTTAACTGCACTCACCAACCGCAACCAGTAAAATTTACACACCTATAGATTAAGCTAACAAACCAAGTACGGGACTGCGAGAATTACTGAGAGAACGAAGAAGGTATGAATAATATATTATATATTTTTGGCGTAAACTAAAAACGGCTTTCTACTAATTATTACCAGAGAAGCCCTGGGTGGGGAATTTCATGACATATCACAATGATTACTGTTATTAGTTCAAACAAACATTTGAGCCAAATAGTTCGGTTTCATCTGCTGTCGAAGACGGCAGCAGCTGTTATTACTATTGGTACATTTGATGAAACTATTCAATCTTTCGCCTTCTTGTTTCATGAGCTGCACTTCAACGGAATCTCTAAGGGGGTAAGGTTATTGACTTTCGTGCCTGCTATTTAACAACGCGTTAGAAGGTGTGATCAGAAGAACTGGGATAGACACGAGTGACACGATCTTCAGGAAGTCCATCCAGCTTCTTGGCTTCGCCGATGGCATTGACATCATGGCACGGAACTTTGAGACGATGGCGGAAACGTACATCAGACTGAAGGCTAAAGCTAGGCGGCATGGACTTGCCATAAACGCATCGAAGACGAAATACATGAGAGGAAGCGGTTCTAGGGAAGACAATGTTAGCCTCCCGACCCGAGTTCTGATTGACGGTGACGAAATCGAGGTGGTCGATGAATTCGTGTATTTGGGCTCACTGGTGACCACTGATGCCACATATACAGATTTATCTGTAACCATACAGATTTTGTTTTATTGTTTTATTGTTGTTTTACATCAACAGGCTGGATGAAGCCCCAATGATGTTAACCTTATTAACTATGGTAAAATCTTTCACTGATGGATCACGCATTGATGGATCCACTGGCTTCGGCGTTTTCAATGAATACTCAACCGCCTTTCGGAAACTTCAGGAACCTTGTTCCGTTTATGTTGCTGAGCTAGCAGCAATCAACTTTGCATTGAGGATGATTTCCGATATGCCCATAGACCATTACTTCATCTTCTCGGATAGTCTCAGTTCGATTGAGGCTTTTCGGTCGATGAAAACAGGTAGGCACTCATCTTATTTTCTTTCAAAGTTAAGGGAGCAGATGAGTTTGCTGGTCGAAAGATCATATATGATTACCTTTGTATGGGTCCCCGACGTAAACAACTACCGGGGAATCACGTCGCTGAGTGCTGTATCAAAACTTTTTGAATTGGTTGTCATAGAGTCCCTAAATGCGCATTGCAAGCAATATATAAGTACAGATCAACACGAATTAATAACTGGACGTTCCACAACTACGAACTTGCTGTGTCTAACGTCTTACATCACAGACAGTTTGATTGCTCGGAACCAAACGGACGTTATCTACACAGATTTTACGGCAGCCTTCGATAAGCTGAATCACGAAATTGCGATCGCTAAGCTTGATAGGCTAGGGATCGGTGGAAATCTTTTGAGATGGTTTCTTTCATACCTCACGGAGCACCAATTGACAGTAACTTTGGGTACTTGTCGCTCAGCAAGCTTCTGCGCAAAGTCCGGTATACCTCAGGATAACCATCTGGGACCATTGGTATTTCTCCTCTACTTCGACGACGTTCACCATGTTATCACAGAGCCACGATTATCGTTTGCAGACGATCTGAAAGTTTTTCTGTGCATCCGCTCACTCGCCGACTGCCGTTCTCTCCAAAATCAGATTGACATCTTTGCTGACTGGTGTAGTCTAAACCGACTGGTGGTCAACCCTAAGCTAAGTGTACAGTTATTACTTTCTCACGCAAGAAACAACCGATTATTTTCAACTATAAACTACTAGGCACGACTATCGAACGGGTGCACTGCGTGAAAGACTTAGGCGTTTTTCTAAACTCAAAACTGACATCTCACACCATATATCGTATGTCGTCGACAAAGGGTCCAGAACGCTTGGCTTTGTCTTCAAGATTACTAAGAACTTCACGGACATTTACTGCTTGAAATCGCTCTATTGCTCTCTCGTACGATCTACGTTGGAATACTGCTCTGCTGTCTGGAGTCCGAACTACAATAATGGGGCCGAGCGAATTGAATCTGTTCAACGACGTTTTCTTCGCTTCGCGCTCCGTAAGCTGCCTTGGAGATACCCACTTCGTCTTCCAAGCTACGAGAATCGCTGCCAATTGATCAATGTCGAGCCCTTACGTATCCGAAGAGATGTTTTCAGAGCCTTAACCGTCGCCGATACTCTGCAAGGAAGAATCGACTGCGAAGCAATTCTGCAACAAGTGAACATTAATGTTCAACCTCGATCACTACGCAACAGTCTAATGCTGAGACTTCCACTTCTTCGAGCTAATTATAGCATAGGGAGCGCTATTTACGGCTTGCAGCGATTGTTCAACCGAGTAGCGTCGATGTTCGATTTCCACTTGACACGGAAATGCATCGCCGAAGATTTTCTGCCTTTTTTGCTGACCGAAGGCCAACAGCTAAGTGAAAAATTTAAGACTTATAATTTTTTAGTAACTTGACAATGCTTTCCTAGTTATTTTCGTTTGTAACTGTAGTAACTGTAGTATATGTATGTCGTCTGTATAATCTGTACTTTTTTTACAACACATCATTGGGACTATTTCTAGTCTGTTGATGCAACCATAACAAATAAACAAATAAACATTGCTCAATCCCAGGCAATGAGAAGGCAGACTATCTCGCAAAGGTGGGCGCACAACAAGGCGAGATTTATGATAGAAGAATTTCACATGATGAATTTTTCCCATTAGTACGTCAGAGTTCTCTTTTAAGTTGGCAGAACGATTGGACAAGTAATTCTCTTGGGCGGTGGTTATATTCCATTATTCCAAATGCTTCTTCGAGAGCGTGGTTCAAAGGTCTGGATGTAAGTCGGGGATTCATTCTAGTGATGTCAAGACTTATGTCCAACCACTACTCGCTAGACGCACATCTCTATTGAATAAACCTAGTTGACAGCAATATATGTAGGTGCAGAACCGGTTATGATGACATCGATCACGCAGTTTGGTATTGCCTGGGTAATGACGCCTCCAGAGCACGACTATTGGATACCCTAGTGGCCCGAGGTAGACAACCCTTCCGTGAAGTAAGAGATGTATTGGGAACACGTGATCTTTCCTACATGTAAGCGATCTACGAATTCCTTTGTTTGTCTGATGTTAGAGTTTGATGTGACTATCCCCTCCTTTCCAAACAATTTCTCGCCATTGTGTCCCAGTCTTATTATCCTCCTGTTCCTGTGCTACTTGCCCCTGCCCAGCCAGGATTTGGTCAACCGTCCGAGAGTAGTATCTGAAGGAGGCTCCAGAAACCAGTTTCCTACCTAGATCCTTCCAATCGAAATTGTTACTCGAGCTTAATCGAGCCCGCTACGAGTAATTGTTACCCAATACTAACCTAGAAATACTGCTATTTAAAATGTAAATCAAACATTACTGATTTTGGCTCCGCAAAGTGTCACACACGACTGAGCCTAGTAAATAAACGAACTAGCAAAAATACTTGCGACTGTGATGCTAACAGTTTGACAGCTCTTCTACTGGGTGTTAGTTTATGTTAGCTGATGTTTTCAGTAAAAATATCGTTTGCTGTTTTTCAGTAAAGCATTGGATTGCTGGTCATGATCCAGCAATCCGTTTTACTGACATTGAAAACTTAAATTTGGTGTGTACGCTCCATAATTTGTGCGACGTAGAGGCAGTCTTAGCATAAGGTTATTACTTGGCGGTCGGGGTTGAACATTCAGGTCAATTTGCCTCAGGATAGCCTCGCAATCTGTCCTTCCTGGCAGGATATCGGCCACGGTTAGGGCTCTGCTTGTGTCTCTTCTAGTCCGGAGAAGTTCTAGGTCGATAAGTTGACAACGGCTTTCGTAACTGGGTAATCGAAACGGATCATTCCAAGGCAATCTACGCAACGCAAAACGAAGAAAGCGACATTGAACAGATTCAATTCTCTCGGCACCGGTGTTGTAGTTTGGGTTCCAAACCGCTGAGCAATACTCAAGCGTCGATCGAACAAGCGAACAATAGAGAGATTTTAGACAGTAGATATCAGTGAAGTTTTTAGCTATCCTAAAAATGAACCCTTAAGTTCTTGACGCCTTATCAACAACATATGCAAAGTGTTGCTTGAATGAAAGCTGCGAATCCAAGATCACACCCAAGTCTTTCAGCTGATTCACGCGTTCGATTGTCGGCCAAGCAGGTCATAGCTAAATATTATCGGTTGTTGTTTTCGTGAGAACGTAATAGCGGAGCATTTGGCTGGGTTCACTACCATTCTGATAAACGAGGAGCTTCGATGACCAGATGCACGTCGATAAAGTACAGTATAAAAATTAACGGTCCCATATGGCTTCCCTGAGGTATACCTGATGTGGCGAAGAAGCTAGCTGATCTGCAATCTCCTATGGCAACCTTTAGTTGCCGACCGGTGAGATATGATCGAAACCAGCTCAGAAGATTACCGCATAAACCGAGCCTGCCGAGTTTAGCAATCGCAATAGTATGGTTCAACTTGTCGAATACTGCGGATAGGTCTGAATACATAGCGTCCGTTTGAACCCGATCCGACATGCTTTCGGTTATATACGATGTGAGACACAGCAGATTGGTGGTTGCAGAGCGGCCGACAGTAAACCCATGTTGATCAGCACTCAAATACTGCTTGCAATGGGACATCAGGTCCAGGATTGAAGGATGACTTGAGCAGAGTCG